CCAGCGCTTTAACTCCTCCCTGCCAGCTCCCGGGCTTGCCCGGGGTCTGTCATCTGCTTCGATCTGCGACACTCTGCTGTTCTTAACCCTGTGCTCCTCCAGCTTTTGGTCGCTTTTAGCGTGATGTGATGTGCAGAAATAGCAGTCTCTGTGCAAAGTGAGCTTTGTGAGGGCGATGGGGGAAAGGGGAAGGGTCCCACCGGAGCGGTGTGTTTCCTAAAGGTGGGCAGCCGTTGACAGAGCAGGAGGGTGCGTGGCGTAGCAGGGAACGGGACTGAAAGATGTTAGGGCTTCTAGGAGGAATTCAAAGTTCTCCATAGGGCTGACGGAGGGAGGCGGCTTGTGCAGTTTTTTGGCTGAAAATTATTCTTCCTCTCTGGAAAATAAGCGTTTTCCATTCCATGCTAGTAGTCTTGCAACTGTGAGACCAGGCAACTGGTTTCCAGGGAAAACGTGTAAAAACGCCTTTTTTTCTTCATTTTTTCCACCAGCATCTAAAACATCATCGTATGGCAATGAGCAATTGTACTGAGACAGAGCTGAAGTTGTGTGGTCTGAAAAGGTGAAGTGTCTATGAGAGGAGGAGGCAGGTCACTGCAGGAATAGTGCTGGTGTCAAGATTTTATTTTCTATTTTCCTAACAGTTTTGTTAAAACTGGAGAGTAAGTGATGTGCTGGAAGTTTCTGCCCATGTGTGTTCTTAATAGGTCATATACCCTACTTGAGAAAAACACATGGTTGTAAGCCTGCTCATGCCTCTGCCTCGTACTTCTGCCACAGACTTCCCTGGGAAGATGATCTTTAAGGTCCCGTTAAGATCCCTTCCAACCTAAACCATTCTATCACTTTTTAGAACTGTGCTGAATGCTGCATCATAGATAACCCATTCAGTCTATCACCATTTTGACTCTCTGTAAATTTGTTTCTTCATTTCCAGGTTGAGTTTTGTCTACCTTTTGACCTGATGCTGTAATGTAGAAGAAGAGTTGAGTGCTTTCCTGCTTTCTTGTGATTTTTAACCTGTGCAAAATGTTCTGTTCCCTTCAGTGTTTTCCTTTTAGGACTGAACACACCTAGGTCCTTCAGTCTTTTTTTCTAAATCATATTTTCCATACTCTAATTCTTGTTTCTTTCTACTACAATGTCTCTGATTTTTGCATGTTTTATAAAGAAGAGTATATGAGGCTAAGTGTGGTCCGTTGGCTGAAGTGTGTGGAGTGGAATTGCTGCTTCTGTGTCATACATGCAGTGCAGCTACTGGCATGTCCCATCCCAGGACACCATTTGCCTGCTTTGTAGCAATATAAGCCTGCTGTCTTGGAATTAATTTCTGAATCAGTGAAATGCATATATACAATTTTTTTTCGGTGGTACATGGGAGTTACTGCTTTTGTCATGTTCATATAAGAAAGAGAAAAAAAAAAACACAAATCTCCCCCCGTAGTGTACTTTTTGTACTCATTTTTACTGAAACTGGAGTGATAGCATCCTGTAGGTGGGTCTAAGGTTCTTGCAGCCAGGTCAAACCACTGCAATAAGATGCTCCAAAGTCCAGAACTGGTTTGAACTTAGTATGTTGAGGCTTTTTCTTTTTTTTCTTCTTGTCCAATAAAAAAAAAAAAAAAAAAAAAAAGGGTGAGAGATTTTTGTATGTGTCAGTAGAGTTTACACTTGATCGGAAATTATCTTGCCATGAAACATTTTAGTGGCTCTTGCACAGCCAGCTAAGCCAGCGTCTTCACCGATTCCTTCTTGCATCCTCCCTGCCCCTGATGTCAGTGGCCACTGCCTGGAGCTCAGCGTTCTCCTCCACAGGAGCCATGGTACCCTGTCCTTCAGTTTTCTTTTTGCTTGCTTGCTGCAGCCAGGCTGCCTTCCTGCTGTGATTTGGTTCAGGGACTGAAATTGGAAAAGAGCCAAGCCTTCAGAAAATATTTTTTTTTCCTGCTAGTTTCTTCTGGCCCTGCTCATTTGTGGAGCCAGGTGTGAGCATGAGGAGGGGATTCTTCATGAGGGGCTGGGGGAGAAGGGGCATAGCTGCCCTTTTCAGCTACAGTGAGCCCTCAGATTGGCTCTGACATCCTGAATTTTGTCTTGATAATTTCAGGCCCCTTTCTGTCTGGCTGGTACTTGAATGCTTTGCTGTATTTATCACTTTCTTATCTTATAGGTAACGACAAACTGATCATTTAACTTGATCAAGAGTCTTTCAGAGGATTGAAGTTACTGGTCTGTAACTTCTTAAGCCTTCCCCCACCTTTTTTTTTCCTTTAATAAAGGTAGGTGAGGCATGATGCTTCTCTAGCCTCCTGTGGCCTTCCTAAATTGCTGTAAATTGCAGAGATGGTCACTAATGCTTCAGAGATCCCTTTGGCTGCTTCTTTGCATGCTTTCTGGTGAATGCCATTATTTCTTCTCAATCTACAGCTGCTTTTTGAATACTTGTTAAGCTGTTCTGTTCTAACTCACTCTGTTCTCACATTTCCAGATTCATTTTGCTTGTCACATTGCACTTTTTCTTCTGGAGACCGAAGGAGCGTTTGTACTTCAGCTTTTGCGTTGCTGGCTTTCCTTTCCTGTTTGCCAGTGAGAGTGTAATTACCTTTTTTTCCCTCTCCTAACACACCTGCCGCTTTCCAATTTATCATCTTTCTTTTCCTCACCTAACATGCCTGCTGCTCTCCAGTTTTCTGGTGACTGAAGAGATCTTAGTAGCAGTAGTGCTGATTTTGACTAAGAGACTATGTAACCTACGATCCTTCCAGGAAAGAATAAAAATAGGACAAGTATATATGCTGTTTTCCAGCTACTCCTCCAGCCTATGGCTCCTTCGAGATAAGGGGATTTCCTGAGTCGCAAGTGAGCTGTCTAACCATGAACAATCAATAGATTTGTCTTTCCAGTACTTGTCCTGTCTTTTGTTGAATTCTTGTAAAATTTTCCACCATTTTTGGAGAAGTACTACCACATGAGTTACGTGCTGGTGAAGAGTCAGGTTGGTTTGTTTTGCCTTGAAGCAGGCCCTCACTGGCTTCGTGTGGTGGCTGTTATTAGCACTCAGCCTCTGGAGAGACGGTGACTGATCTACCCCTGTTCACCACATGCACAGCACTCCTGATTTTACAGACCTCTGTTACGCTGCCTGTCTTCTGAGAAAACTTAAGGTCAATTACTTTCTCTGGAGCCTTGGAACACTGAAGGGCAAGAACAAGGATATTTGAGGTCCTTGTCCAGCCCACTTGAAGGGACATGCTGGAAGCCAGGTGCTTTCACAAGGTGTCTCATGCAGTTTCATACACTTGGTGATAAACAGCCTCTGTGTCCTTCAGTGCTGTATTGAAATGAGGAAAAGTTTCAGATGTTCCTCACGGGGATACGTACCTGTCCTAAGATGCAGAGGGAGAAGCTGGTGTGATGGAGGCATTTCCTCTGAGATGGTGGGAGGGAGTCGCAGCCCCCGTCTCAGAACTGTTCTCCCTGCCCTTTTCAGAGATCGGCCAGCCCGGCTGAGACCACTTAGCGATGACAAAACAAAAGCTTCTGCTTGATGGGACACTCTCCCTGTTTCTGATCGTGACCTGTGAAGCTCAGCAGCTCCCAAGGAGTCATGTTGCTGCCAGTTCTGGCCCGCTCTGTGAGAAGGAAGCAGAGTCCTGGGGAAGCCTGTTCAGCAGCGAGCGGCTGGATGCCTGGATCTGTTCCCTCGTCGGTTCGTTTATGGTGGGGCTGAGTGGGGTCTTCCCCTTGCTGGTGATCCCGTTTGAGACGGGCGCTGCTCTGCGCTCGGAAGGTAAGCCTGCTGCCTGCAGTCACTTTTCTGAAGCCAAAAGTCCTGCGTTGTGACGGAGCACCACAGCGATGAAGAGCACCTTGTCACAGAAGTACTGTCCTCTAAGCTAGACAGTCTGTTTCTGCTGCTTTAGTCTATACCTGCCAATTTGGTAGGGAGTCCCTGGACAAATGCAAGCCCTGGGTGGAGCTTGTACAAAGAGTATTGTTTGTTTTGTCCCCTGCTTTGTCCAGGACCCTCCCCACACCCTGCTGTCCCAGCCAAGTGGTGCAACGGCTTTTTCCTGCACTCCAGCTATTTATTTGTGCTCTCTCCTTCAAAAGCTTGCTTTGCAGATGTTTCCAGTTTAGGTCTCTTTATGCGAAGTCTCAGCTCGAGATGTTTTGGCTCATGGCTGAGTTGGTGATCAGTTTTTGCTTGTTTTTTTTTTTTTTTTTCAGCTGGATCACACCGTTTGAAGCAGTTGTTGAGTTTTGCAATTGGTGGGCTACTGGGAAATGTGTTTCTGCATCTGCTTCCTGAAGCCTGGGCCTACACATGCAGTGCAACAACAGGTATGAAAGCCTTGTGTGCTTAGAAGCAGTCCGTGCTACAGTTTTTAAATCCATTCCATCTTGAAAACACTAGACCAGCCAGGCTAGGTGAGACCCAAAACTAGTCAAGGCTGGTGTTAGGTTTCACACAGTGTGTAAAAGCAAATGTCTAGGGAAGAATATGAGACCAACAAACACATACAATCGTGTAATACTTCATCTTTGTACTCTGCAGTCCTCCAAAGATTTTGTGATTGGAGGCTTCTTGAGCTGGCCAAGGGTTCTTCACATTTAGGAACTTTCAGTAGATTTTTTTTTTTTTTTTTTTTTTTTTTGTCCCATCAGCTTTTCCTGTGTTGCCTCAGAGTCTGTCAATCTGTTAATTTTCCTTTCTCTTTTCTGTAGAGAATGAGAACGCTTCCTTAATGTGGTGGGAAGTTATGACTGTGTGTGTGGTCTGGTCCAGGAATATGTGTATAGCCATCTCAGCTGAGGTTTCGGCCCCATGAGATGCATCTTGTGTGTAAATCTGTCCCTGGAACAGTGTTGCTCCCAGAGCCTCTTTCTTGGGCCTAACATGAGCCCCTCTGCTGGGCACTTTGATCTGCAGGACCCCAAAAGTGTTGCCCTCTCAATCTTTGCTAAAGAAGAAATCATGGAAGATAGTCCATAGAGCCCTGACTAAGATGGGGATGGGGGGGAGCAGGGGGAGAGAAAGGAAAAGCAAGTGAGAGGAGCCTGCGTTTGCCCAGGAGCTCAGCACTGCTTGGGCTGGGAGAGAGCTTGTGGTATCGGTCTGTCTCGTTTGCCCTTCAGACAGCCAGAGCTGTTGAAGCGTGCACTGATTGTACCTCTCTGCTTCAGCAAGCTGACAGTGTGGCAGGCAAGTGCTGCTGCATCCCACCTGTTGAGAAACCAAGAAATCATTTTCTTGCTGAAAATGTGAGAATGGGAGGAAAGGATGCCCTGGGTTTCCCTGGCTTCTTTCCACTTTTGACCTGGGTTTTTGTATCTGCTGGGCCCTCTTCTTCCTCACAGCTCTAGCACTGCTAGCAGAACCTGCTGTCCTTTTTTTCCCCTTTCCACAGGGATTCCCAAGTGACTCTGGCTTGTTTGCTTCTGCCAGGCTTTGCCGAAGCATAAAGGTTTCCTTGACCCATGTAAGCCCCATTACACAGCTGTTCTGTTCTTCCACTGCAATGCAATCTCCATGTCTGCAGTCAGGTTGAACGGGTGATTATCTCACAAGCTTGGCTGTAATTTAAAAGAAAGTTTGTAGCTCTGGGCTTAATAACTTGCCCAGGTGTGGCAGAAAGGGGAAGGTGAGTCTGTAGCTCCACTCATGACAGATTTCGTGTCAGGGCTTGCTGCTCAGAAGATAGAGCTGCAGGATTTTGTGGATGTCATCTTGACTTGCCTCTGGAGCCCACAGAAATTCCTAGTGTTGTGGGGAAATATTCTGGGTTGCACTATTGAAACAAAAGGCCTGTGGGCTCTCCCAAGTGTCCTGAGATGAGGATCTCTGTTAGTTGAAAAATGAGCCAGTTAAACTAATTTGCTGAGAGGTGTCGGCTCCTTATTTCTAACAGGAGATGTTTCCATGGTAGCTTTCTTGGTGTTTTGCCATTGGAATTGCTGTTCAGGTGTCTGGGGTGGGGTGGGTTCACATGCAGGTAACACTGTGTACTTGTTAGTGACATGAGGATTTCTCTCCTGTGCCTCAGGTGAAGCACAGAGCTTTCAGCAGCAGAAGCTTCTGGGTCTCTGGGTGATCACTGGTTTCCTGACCTTTCTGGTATTAGAGAAGATCTTCCTAGAGGAAGAAGAGGAGTGCCCTGCTGTGGTAAGTTAGCAGCCAGAGGGGAAGGAGTGCCATTGTTTTTGGAACAGGGTACTAAACATCTCATCTGCCCTATCTGACAGGCTCAGCAAACGATCCTGGAGCTGTGAGTAAGCTTGCCCATGGTCTGTGGGAGCTTTTTGCTACTTTGATATGGGGCTCTAGAAAAATGTGTTTCATCTGCGGCTTCAGTTTTGTGGTTGTAGCTGAGATTTCTCACCTCTGGGCTGTTTTTGTTCTTGATGTGGTATGTGTAAAAGAGACCTCCCCTTTTATGGAGCCTGGGAGCTGGAGTGCTCTGCAGAGGAGACTTCTTCTGCTCAAGTAAGCCTTGAGGGATGACAGCTTGCCAATGCACGTTCCACTGAGCCATTGTGACTTGAGTGTGTCCTGGACAAGGTGTTTGTTGGGCTGTGTGGTAGGATGGGTTTATGGTGGACCAGGTAATACGAAGTAATGGCTCAGAGGAGAGTCGCCCAGATGCGAATGTAGACCAAGGGACGAGAAGGTAATTACAAGACAGACAAGAGCAGCTAATCCTCAGGCATCTACACAGCTCCTATAGACTGTTCAGTCCTTTCTGTGTCACAACTTCTGAGAGGTGAAACTGCAGGTCACACACCATGTAAGAGCAATTGGGTGTTACTTGGACTCAACATGAGACCTGAAAGTCTGAAAGGTACTTAATCTCCTTACTTACAGAGAGACTGAAGTCCAAGATGAACATCTTGTTGTTCAGTAGCTGACAATCCCAGCTATAGAATAACTCTCCAGACTTTGCTATTCTGACACACTGAGGAGAGCCAGGCTCAGTCCCTACATTTACAGGGGCTCATTTACCTGGCTCATACCAACAGGCTGTGACTCAAGTTCCTCTTTTTTCTGTCTACTTTCCTTCTCTTGGTGACTGGGGAAGCCTTTGTTCTTGGAGTCTCTCAGTGCACGTCACTGTGCTCTCTGACATCTGTCTCGTTTCTGGCAGTTATGGTTATTAGATCAGGGTACCCAAGCTGCTGATTTGCTTTGTAAGGACAAAGGGATTAAGAATAATCCCATAAAGATGTGATTCCTGACCCTGATTCATGCTCATTCATCACTGTCAAAAAGGCAGTGACAAGTTTTTTTCCCCTGATTCAGGACTGTGATTCCAAAGCACCAGCTGGAAGGATTTCCAACGGCAGTGGCTACCCCCTGCCAAAGGTGGCGGGCCAGTCCCAAGGAGCAGGAACAGGTTCAACTCACTGTAATGGCTCCTCCCTCCAGGCTTGTCCCAGAGACAACAGAATCAAGGTAAGAGACCCACAAACTGACCTTCTGAAATGCTGGGGTTTGAACCCTGAGCCCCGAATTAAGGTTGGCATGTGGGTGATTCCCACAGTCCTTCATACAGAGGTGCTGAGTTTGCCTTTCAGCTCCCCCCAGGGTGGGGCCGGCCCTGCAGGGAGAGCCAGAAGGGAAATGAGCCCCAGGGGTCCCGCAGTGAGTTGACAAAGGTCAGGTGTCTGCTGGGGGATAAAAGGTGGGACCACTGGCAGGGAATCAGGAGAGTCTGTCTGTGGAGTGCACTCCACAGAGCTTCCTGGTTCATGGCAGACCTCCTGACTCTCCCTGGAGCTGGGCCCAGTCTGTTTAGACCTTTGTGAACACGGGCTGATCGGGTGAGAGTCGCCATGTGGGCACCTTTTTCTTATGTGTTTAACTTGCTGGTCTGGCTGTTTCCCATGCCAACTATGGAAAACCTCGGGTCTCTGTTTGTACCACCTGTTGTGGGACAAGTCATGTCTTTTGTGGGATCGTTGGGGGTGGCGTCAATTATGTACCAGCTGATTGACTTGTTTGTACCCCCAGTGATCATTCACGGAATGTCCTTTTTGCTTACAATACAGTCTGTGTATTGGTTCATCTTCCTGCTGGCTGTATCATTTTTGTTGGGCCTGGTCATTGGGCGAAAACCCTCCAATCTTAGAGTTTTTGGGCACACATTTTAAAATTAAGTCAGGAGGATGAGTTGTCTGTGGAAAGAACTGTGCCTGAGTAGCGAACGCAGGATTTGAGCAATTTGTGCTTGATTTTGCTCTGTCAAAGTGTCTGTCCAGGTCACAGCGGGGAAGAAGTGGTGGACTTGGAGCAAATTTGCACAGCAGCGTATGCAGAAGAGGCAAAGTTGTTGTTGTGAAGGCGTAGGTCTAATGATGTGTGTTTTGGTTGAATCCTAAGGCCGAAGGACAGTACTTCCACATTTTGTTACTCTACGTCTTACAGCCATTTTATCTTTATTTGATGAACTTTTTGTGCCATGATTCCTCTGTTCTCAAGTGCCTGCATTATACCAGTTGTGAGTGGCATATTTCCTTTTAAGGCACCTTCTGGAAGTGTTGTGATGGTGACAGTTATCCACTCTAAACATGGAAGTTCAGTTTCTCAGATAAGCAGTTTATTTGCTGAAAAAAAAAAAAAAAAAAAAAAACAGGGTTTCTTGTCCACTTCTGCCTCCAAACCCCTATTTCCAGACACTTCCATTGCACTGGACTTCATCTGACCCCACGGCGAGCTAAACAGGGAAAGAAATGGCTTTTTGGGTTTTTCTTCTTTTTTTTTTTTTCCTTCTAACTTGAGTCTTCAATCAGCTTGGCATTTAGACAGGCAGCCTGTAGTGCTGAGGTAAGAGAAACCAGCAAGCTCTTAGGACTGGAAGTGGAGGAGGGAAACAGAGCACTACTATGTGCAGTGGCTAACTTTTAGACTGGCTTTGCTTTCGGTTTTAAGCTAATGTTTTTGCACTGCAGAAACCCTTGTCCAGGTGACCATTAGAAGCAAGGCAGTAAGTGACTGCTGTGGCAAAGGAGGACCTATAATTTGAGTTGGAAAGCCCATAAAAACGTGCAAGACTGTGGGAGAGTAACGATGAACAGGAAGCATAATTGTGTGGTCTAGCCCAAACCTGACTGTGTGGTCAGAGACTCTTCAGTCTATTTTAAATGTTTCACTGCAACCTAACAGTACTTCCTATGCAATGTGAAACATCTCCTGAGGTCGTTGGGTGTTCTCTGGGTCTGTCACACTCGTGTCATCTCTGTGAATGCTGCACAGACTGCAGGGTGCTGTGCTGTGTTTCTGGAGGTGACAGTGGTGAAGAAACCAGTATTACTGGGTTAGGAAACATTGTGCCATCGTTCTGGAAAGGTTTACAGAAGAAACTATGGCCTCAAAGGATATTTAGTCTACCACTCATTTCAAGTAGCAATGAAATACTGATGGGGGACACAATTGCTCAGGGCCTGGTCCTAGTGGAAAAAATAATAATGTAATTAATGCTAATTGATAGGATCTTGTGGAAGATAAATTCTTACCAGCCAGACATTTTTTCCCCTGCCTTTTACTTGGTTATAAGATCAGTGAAGGTAATGATGTTGACAAACATACATTACAGAATTTTCTCTGTATGTGTTAATAAAACTTGGTACTGCATTAAAGCAACTTAGCTAATATTAGCTGTATTAAAAAGCAGTTGTTCTATTTTATCAAGAAGCACTGGATTAATGCAGCCTTCTCTCTCAGATCTGTTCACTGGTGGTTTATGATTTTTACAAGTGATTATTTATCTGCACAGTATATCTTCACACTTGCACGTACTGAGTTACTTAAATGGCATGTTGTAATTGCATGAGATCACTGGTATCAGTTAAACTGAGTGACTTCATCTAAAGAGCCTATGTTTCACATGTTTTACTACATGCAAATATGAAGGAATAGATTAAGAAAGAATGCAGATCATATTTACAAGATAGAGACAGTTTCTAGGAAGTCATTGCCTTGGGAAAAGGTATGAGACTCACAGCAGGAAATTGGTCAACCACATTGTTCCGTTATGGTGCTACAGCCAGGAGGACAAGTGAGTAGGAATCCGTATGTAAGAGAAGAGTTAAGTGTTCCTCTTTCTGTGAAGCAGTAATGAAACAGCTATCTGACTGTTTCCAGTAGCGTTATGCACAATATCCAGAATGACCCACTGGTAGTTTTTGAAGGGGTCAGGCAACAGCTGAAATAATTATTTTTGGTTTGCAGTACGTCATAAGAAGTGGTTTTAAAGACTCAGAGGAGTCTTTAGCTCTATAGGTGTGACAGATCAGGGGTGGCTTCAAGTATACAAATAGCCATGTCAGAGGTACGACTAAATTTGAGTAGTTAAAGCTGTGCCGAACAGTAGCAGATGAGAAATCAAAGACAACTCTGTAACTGAGGGTAACTTGCCAGTGGACCAACGTACCTTAGAGACGCAGTAGATTCTTTGTCACTTGTAGGCTTTAAGCTGTGATTTCAGTTGCTTTCTGCAAAGTACACTATAGGTTAAGAACCAGTGGGCTTCGTCCAGAAAGTGAGATTTTTTCAGCTGTTAGGTAGAACCACGGAGAGCCCTTTGAGCTTTAAAATGTTAATACATCTGTTCAGTCTTATAGACTGTTGCCAATAGGCACGAAATAGAAACTAAAGAGTTACCACGTGTATTTTTAACTTTCTACCTTCTGGGCAGACGATCTGAATATTTTATTAGTGTTTCTAGCGGGAGGGAAGGACCAAAATTACCAAGATACTCCTTCATTGTTAGCCCGTTTCCTTAGGCGATGACATAAGCAGTCATTCCATCTGTCCATCTGTTCTGCCCTCCATTTTCAATAACTCATCTCGAGTTCAAGGGCCTTTTTCTTGAGTTCAGGGGGGGATAGAAGTCTTGCAGGTAATCAGATTTCTGCAAGTCCCATAAAAATGGGCCTGGCGACTGAGGAGGAATGCCAGCGAGCGCCCTGTGGCAGAGCGGGGAGCGGCGCGCCGCCTGGCGGGTGCCCTGGCTGGCAGAGCAGTGGGTGGGCCTGGCGCCTGGGCAGGGGGATGCTGCCAGGGGAAGTGAGCCACGGAGGCCCCTGCAAAGAAAAGAGAGATGGCTCTAGCAGGCTAGGCTGCTTTGGTTCTATTCTCTCAGCAACTCCCTTTTTTTCAGAAAACAAAACCAGAAAGATACTACTTAAACCAAGTTGCCCTTTGGGGCTTAATGATGAGTAAACTGGAATCGGTCATCTTTTGTCTCTATATATTAGAACTTCTGCTCTTTAGCTGCTTCTGTAGTAATTTGTCCTAGCTTGCAGACTGCGAGTGGGAGGCATCCTTTGTACCCAAACGTAGATCAGTTCTGTCCCTCATAGCAGCCTTTATTTCCTCAACAAGTGTAAACATTGTGAAGTACTTATTCCTTGCTTATTCTTTCTTTCTCCCTGTAGCACATGTGCTGCTTGCTGATTTGTGGAAGTATGTTTTACTGCACGGTAACATTAATTCTGAAGCACGAACCATAAACACCTCATCTGGTTGTGCTCTTTATGCTCAAGGAGAACATCCTATTAGGAATTCGCAGGATGTAAATGTCAGGGGCTCATAACTGTCAAATCAACCCAATTTATTTCGGATCACAGCAAGGCTTCGCTTCTTTCAGTGACAGCTTTTTGCCCATGCCATTGACAACAAGTAGTCATAATGCTTTAATTATGAAGTCTTTTTTTTTTTTCCCTTATATGGTGGTATGGGAAAGCATTCTTGTTTAAAATTTATGTGAATAATTATTACTAGCCTGTGGGAAAAATGCAATCGCATTAAATTGCAACATGAAAAGGAGAAATTTTTGACAGTCATAACTGACTGAAAATGAGGAATGAGAAGTAGAACTGCTGTGTTCATGGGTCTGCTGCCTGAGTGGATCCCTTTGTGTTCCCCATCTTATAAAAACATGCAGGGAATTTCTGCATCTGTTGTGGAGATGTCACCTAGGTTATTACTTAAATGGCATCTGTATTTAGACTTTGCTTAATTCTTCATTTTCATATTAAATTATCCATGTACTTTTAAGAGTTTGGAGCCTATAAAAATGTCCTGAGAGAGAGATTGGACAGAAAGCTTACCTGAGCTCTGTATCTTACAGATGGCAGAAAGAAAAAGTGCCCTAAGCAGAGCTTGATAGAAGAAATAGGGAGGAACAGAAAGCCAAAAAGGGCTTGTGAAACCTGTCTGCAGTTGTGTGTTTCCAGCTGAACTTTGGCATCTGATGCCATGGTGGAGTAAGGGGGTAACACCTCACAGTTCCTAGGCGGTCTCTCCAACACTGGATGCTGCCCTGTACCTGGAGTTAGTGTATACCAGCTTACTTCTTACCATGCAGAGACAGCCTGATGTCTGATAATAATTTTAAGTGCAGCGCTGTCGAGTGAACTGCAGTGTCTCAGGACACCCCCCCCCCCATAGTTTGTGTTAAATGTGGTGGAAAAAACAAAACAAACCCACAAAACCTGTGAGCAAAAATGCTCAGGTGGTGCCCCTATAAACCACTTAAGGTCAAATACTCAGAATTTGTCTGTAGATGACCATAGCTGGTATGATAGGTAAGTCTAACGTGGAGATGGACTTCTGAGGAAGAAAGTTGCTTTATGCTTATAATTTGAAGAAATATGTTTATATGCAAATTCATAAACATGCTGTCCAGCCTTCTAGTAGGTGTTTTTTTGGTGACTGTCATCACTCTATCGACTCTTCTGTTTCTTTGTTCAGGGAAAGCAAACCCATAGTCACAAGCTTTTTTACTGCAATGTTTGATGGTTAGTTGTAAAAAGCTACTTCAGCAGCATTTATTCTGTTGAATTTCTCTTGCCCGCTTTTGTAGAGGAGATATTTAACAATTGGATATTGAAGACAGTTGGGTCATATTTTGAATCCAGTTGCCTGTGTAAATTAGTCAGTCTTACCTAAAATTGGTTCGGTTTACAATCAGCTGTATCCTTGCCTTTTGGCATTCTTCTTCCTTTCCCATTTAGTGTTTCTAGAGCGCTTTGTCCTTTGCATATTATCCTAATCTGAGACAATACTTGCCTACCCTAGGACTTAGTTTACTCTAAAATAGAACATGATATTTAATTTGTACTTTAGTGCTGACATAGTTCAAGGTCTTCACCAGAAGTGCCGTGCCCTGACCTTTCTCATCTGACTGTGACTCTGTACAACTTGTGTCTAAGCCATGTGGTTTCTTTTATCATGTTATATCTCTTCCTTTATCGGAGGCTCTTCCTTTTCTTTGCAGATTAGTGGATACCTCAATCTCCTGGCCAACACCATTGACAACTTTACACATGGCCTGGCGGTAGCAGCCAGCTTTCTGGTTAGCAGAAAGGTAAGGTTTCTGTCAGCAGCTGTGTGCCTAACAGGAGAAGCCTGTTTTCAAGTGTGATGCAATGTGCAAAAAACTCCAAAGATACAAGGAGTTCCCTCCTATTATCTGGAAGTTTGTGAGAAAATGGAGACTGCAGTAAAAAGCAACCCTATCCTGACCCTCTAATGCAGGGCTTCTCCAGTCTGGGGACACAGCAGTCATTTGTACTGGCTTTAGGGGAAGGGTTAGCTCACCTCTCCCTTTGTTGAATAGTTCTAAGCTCTGAGTCACAAGTCTTAACATGGAGAAAGGGGCCTTGACATGCTGATTAAAGTCTCATCTCTCAGAGCTGGGGGACTGTTTCCTAATCACCTTCTCTCCTCTGCTGCAGGTTGGTTTTCTAACCACAATGGCCATTCTCCTGCACGAAATTCCACACGAGGTGAGGGAGCTTTGTATCCTGTGATCATGAGGGATGACAAGGGTGCTTCATCTACTGAGAGGAGGACTGGCTCTCGTTAACATTTTCTTTTCCCTTTGAAAGCTTCTCCCTCTGGGAGACTGGCAACACGGAAGACTAGGAATGGTCTTTAAGTGCTGGTCTTCTTGCAGGTGGCCTTTGTTACAGAACAGACATATTTGTTAACTGTCAGCTCTTGGTTCATTTAGGTTGGAGACTTTGCAATCCTACTTCGGGCTGGCTTTGACCGCTGGAGTGCAGCCAAGATGCAGCTTTCCACTGCTCTTGGGGGGATTCTAGGAGCCTGCTTTGCAATGTGTGCTCAGTCACCGAAGGGAGCAGGTGAGGCTCCCTGGCACCACTGTGGGAACAGGAGCGAGGGGCCCTGTCGTCCCTCTGTGTGTATGCTTTTTCCCTTCTCTGTTCTCTCCTGTGCCTTTGTGTCAGTAATAGCAAAAGCTTTCTGTCTTTGTGCAGGGGAAACAGTAGCCTGGATCCTCCCTTTCACATCTGGAGGGTTTCTGTATATTGCCTTGGTAAATGTTGTGCCTGATCTCCTGGAGGAAAAGAATCCTTGGTAAGTGTTCCCTTGTGTTCTGTGGCAGCAATTCTTGCTGCCAGGGAGCGGGGATATAACCCTTCCCCACACCTGTTCTGGGAGCCCTTGAGTGCCAGTTTCCTAGATCCCATAGGCAAGGCTGGAATCTAGACAGACTGCTGTGGTAGCTGCTGCCTTTATGGGACTATAGAGAGACTGTAAAAGGGGAGAACCTGCAGCCAGGTCAGTCCCAAGGATTGCGCTGGTGCACAATGTAGCATGTTCAGCTAGAGCAGGTTGTGCAGAAACATGTCCAATAATGTGACCTGTTCCCCAGTCTGTCTGGTCAGCCTCTGGCACGTTCTGGTTTAGGGACTGTCTGAACCAGGGCCCTATAGAGGTGTGCGTGTCCAGTAACTGCACATGATTCTGTCCTTCACACGCTTCTCTCATTTTTTTGACCCTGTCCATGATTTTCATCTTTTGCAGTCTGTCTTTTTGGCAGCGAGTTTGCATAGTTTGACTGCACTTTGTTAAATGGTTTATTATTCGCTTTTTAGCCTCTTGCTTATTAATTTTGCTTAGATGTCACTGTGTTGCTGTGTGAGGAGAACATAAGTTTTCTTTATTGTTCAGCATTTCGTGGACTGTTACTGTATCCTACCGCAGTCATCTCTCTTCTACTCTAGTGTACATATATATATATATA